AATGTTGATCCGGAAAAATTTATGAGTTTTAAAATTTGTGAGAGTTTACCACCATCCGTTGTTTCTTGTGTTTCTGACCATGGATTTGTTTTTATAGTTCAAAATATATTATTCTTTACAGGGATCAGTGTTCGGACTTTCGGAGTGTTAAGACCAATACTACCATCTCACATCATCACGAATAGTTTACTGACCTATTCCATATTATTATAATATGTAACCCACATAGCAAATTGAAAATAGGTATTAATACTTTTAAGATATTTGAAAAAAGGTTGTCTGTTAAATATTTGATTGAAAATATTGTTGAGTCATCTTCAAAATATTTAGTGAAAATATATTTGAATTCAAATATTATAAAAACATTTTCGAAACGTTTTTAGTGATATTATATAACCTACTGTTAGTACTAGAATGACAACAAATATTGATGTATTTTTTTTTACTATACGTTATCTCTCGCAACATATACACTCACACACACGCACTTGCAAACACAATATACCTATCGTGCATACTCTTTGTACACACACACAACAAAAGTTTTTTTTTACAAATTATTATCGCCTCAACTCATGAGGGTTCATTTAACAATTCACCTACTTACTTAAAACTTGTGAATATTATAAAGTGTTAAGAAAAATGTACTGAACATAATATTCACACCTATCGGCTGTCAACTAATAATCACAATTTACCGGGCGCGAAAAGGGTACCAAGGTAACAAACGGTCTACAAGGGGCCTGTATTTTCTTTGTGTCGGATACACATTGTCGGGTGAATGTGTATGTATATTCATTTGGTTGTGTATTGTCCTACACTTCTGCAGTTTTATACTTATAACTGTGTATGTATATGTATACCTGTATTCTTACCTTTACGATGCTCGTTGTTATTTTTTCAATGACTTCATAAATCTTATTCGCTTACGAGTGTAACACGATTGCGCCCGTCCTACATTTTTACCCGCAAAAAACGCAACACGATTGGCCCCGTGGAACACATATTTTGCCCGTTGAAAAATTTTCCAATACACCATTTAAAAATACAGCCAGAGTGGTAAACTCATAGTTGAAGTCGAAAATTTGAGTTAACCAAATTCGACTGTCTTAATACATGGACACTTGGCACTATAACTTGGCTCATTTATTTTTGTAATACCTAATAAGATAATTAATTTAACTAAAAAAGCAAAATATTGTTAATCTAGAACAATTATTAAAGGTACCTACATTATTATAGTAAGACAGGAAACAGCGGTACATGCACAATAATCAGTACCTACATGAAAGAGATTAATAATATAAACAAATCAATTGATAACTCTTGATAAACAAATAATGTTAAATCTAGGTGTGGGCGCAATGGGTGTGCAGCCAAAATAAATGTATTTGTATTAAATTAATTACTTTATACTTATTATAATGAGAACATTAATTTCATGAAGATCGTTATAATATAGGGTGTGGGAGCAAGGCCCTTTTGTATAATGTACATCATTTTAGCACTCCTCAAATCGTTTATGATCGACTGTCGAGTAATATAACATTACATTATTATTAAATAGGTACGAGATACCTATAGGCTATAGGCACCTACTTGTAATATATAATAGTTATACATTATCAAATATAATCAGTAAGTACTATGCAATTATTGTTATCACCTTCGTAGTTATATACTATAATTTTAAGTGAAATCAAACAAAAAATAATATTTTATAAGATATAACTTGTTATTACTACAATTTCAATAAAAAAAGTTGACATGACTCGAATTCGATCAAAAATAACAAAAATTAACGATAAATAGCATATAACAATAAATATCCATAAAGACAACTGTTTTCCTTCAAGCCACGTTAGTTGTAGAGGCAGACACTTGACACACATGTATTTGGCCCACCCACTTTAGCGTATCGACACTAAATCTTCAATAATATTTTGAGTTATTTTCGAAACCACTTTATATACTATTTGAATTTAATTGATAATATACTGTATCTTATGTCATTGGAGGCGGGTTTTTTGACGATTATGAATCAACGATATGAGATTTTAAAAAAAATAAAAAAAGACATGTTACTTTATTTTTAACAGGACATTTTTTGATTACAATTTCAAAATTTTTGAACACGCAGTTGTACCAACAGTAAAATCAACTTTATTTTTTTTACATTTATTTTTTAATGGGTTCTAGTAAAGCTTTTTTTCTGAAAATTTTGATACCTAATTAAATCATCAATTTTGGTTCACTAGTTTATTAGCTATAGTCCTCTTAAGTTTATAAATGCATTAATACTTTGAATTGAAATAAATGGTATACATTTAATTTAAAAGAGCTAAATATTTTTTCTTTCGACTATCTTTTGATAGACTAAAATCGATCATTTAATGAGACGCTCCAAAAATAAATGTTGTCATTTTAAGATAATACATTTTCGATAATACGCATAATCAATTTTGGTAGAGAATGCAAATTATTTTACTTAACTACAAAATAAGTAAAAATAATATTACATTTTGAGAAAAACAGTGAATGTTATTCAGTGTTTTATATTTAAACACTCAACGATTCTCATGTAATATTTCCATTAATTTTAAAAACACAAATGTTCGATACTTAAGTACTTTCAATAGGTCATTTTATAAATATGTATTTGTAGTTTTTGAGACAATTATGAAAATAACAACAAAATTATCGTAAAGGTGTATACTAATACAGTGAACGTGGTTTTAATTAATTTTATTTTTAATTGGTTAAATGACTTAAATAAAAGGCCAGCAATACCAGACTAATTATATGGACCCTATCACCCAATCAATATTAGTATCAAGCTTCAATACCATTGAACTTTTTATTCCATCTTAATCCTGCCTGGATTTTAAAATATTGAAAAACATCTGAACATCGTATAATATTATTAGTAGCTATACAAATAGCTATAACTCCACCACTGTTGTTGTAACCTAGCAGTACAGTTCACTTGGAATAATTATGCATCGTTGATTAAAAAAAAATACTAAGACTTCGGTCATTTTGACTACTCAACTCTAGTGTAATTAACCATTTTTTAAGTTTTCTATTACTTATAAGATTAGTGATTACTAGGTATATTTTTACTCCCGGGTTTTTATTTACTATATAATTCATAATATTATACCTAAAACCATGATCATTGCATTGATTGGTCACAGATTATCTTTTATATAAAAAAAAATATATTATATAATGTACCATACCAAGTGGTCGACATGAATCTTTCATTTTTCGTTAGTGTCCTAATAGTTAATACGACTACCAATTACTGCTTAAGCTGTTGAGACAGTTATTCTATTTTCTCATACAATTTATATTTTTTATATTTTAAACCATAAATTAAATTCCACGGCGTCGCGGATAGTCCATTGGGTACACCAATGTCGTGTGGTTTGTCTTTCTTATGTTTTAAAATATGTATATCGTATATAGGTTGAGGTACATCTATGAATACAATGTAAGTAAATGGTTATAATTATAAATATATCTCAATAAGATAAAATGAGTATAATATGTCTATAACAAAAGAATTTAACTATGGGGTAGGTAAGATTAGAATGAAATAATTGACTATAGTTTTTAGTACTTATTGAAAAATAGTAATTTAGTTAAAATGTTACAAATAAATTATTATTATTAATAATGTATGATAAAGTAAAGTATTTAAATATTAACAGTGCTGAATTCGATCACATAAAATCGTGTCTAAAGTAGCTACAGCTAACTTCAGATATATTTTATTAGCACATTCGCCACCGATGACATAACTACGGAGGAAGTATGAGTGTTGTATCAGTGGCGAATATAAGAAGTTTAGAAGACCATGCAATGCCAAAAAATGGACACCGACCCACAGGCCACAGCCCAAAGAATTTGTTGAGCCAGTTACCATCTAAATATGAACTCAAATATTGTTTTTGTTTACCTATAACTATTTTTTATTTATGTAAAGGGTTTTAGGGTTTTAGGGTCTAGCGTTATTTAATTTTGAGTTATGGTAATCGATATTTGGTAGTATTAAATTAATTGTTTATTGCTAACTGTTAAGTACCTATCTAAACATTTAAATTGTATGGCCTTTAATAAATTATCTTACATACATACCAATAATTCTTTGTTGTTCATTATTTATTTAAGATGACTAAATAGGTTAGTAATTACTTGTTAAAATAAAATATAAATTCTTAGATTTATCATAAAAATTGAAATATTAAATATATACAACTTGTAACAACTTGTATGTAACCACCCATGAGCTTAAATGTCTATAACTGGCACACAACATCGCTGTACCATTATTTACATAAACAATACAAAAAAATCCAAATTATTTTACTGGTTATTATAAGTTATCAACACCTATAAATATTATAAAACAACATTACATCATAGTTTTCATAATATAGATTATTTTTGATACGAGATAAAGTGTTCGACATAACTATGGCATTCTTCGTTAGTGTCTTAATACGGCTACCAATGACCACTTAAGCCGTTGAGCCAATTATTCTCGTTTTTCATAAAATGTATGTATGGGCTTTCAATAGGTACATGCTATTTTTTTTAGTAATATTCATGTAATATACTACTAAACTCTTAACATAACCAAATTGTACAACTGTTCATCAATAATTCGACCATCCACTATTGATTTTGGTCTCTAGTATTTACTTGAGAAATATGTGTTGCAGTCCAAACGACTGACCATTTCACACCCCACCATAAAATGACTTAGTCAAGTCAGTATAATATCACTTTAGCAACCATGAACCATTGCCCAAAAGCTGTTCATTGATATATACTACATATATCAATATATGAAACACATTTATAGCCTAACCTAATCCGATAATTGGCTCATATTAGTTGGATTAACTTAATGTCTATAGATAATTTTAATAAAATAAATAATAACTCTTAAAATATCTTCAATAAGTATACGGAAAGAAACACAAATTATATCCCTAATTGTATAATGTAGACTTTATTAAATTTCATATAACTTTTCAAGTGCTTTACTTTCACATAAAAAAACGCTATTTTAATTATATTACTATATAATGTGTACAAATATAGTTCATCTGAATGAGGTACAATAAAATTAAAAACAAATTTTTTTATTATTTTAATTAATATAATAATATGTGCTTCATAATATTGTTTGATATTCAATAATCAACTGTTGGTCGTTTGGCAACCCATGCCTTAATTTGAGGTACAGTGTAACGAGACAAAACCGGACGCCCCATACCTGTGGCGCACTCTCGTTACCAACAACCGGTCCTCACACAAGTAACACTACCACGCGCTCTCGTGTAGCAATGTCGCAGCTGTACTGCGGAATAGGGACACATCGTCTCACAGAGAGCGCAAATCTCAATCTCCGTTGCGACGACCCGCCGCCCAAGAGGGTAAAATGGTTTTGAGATGGAACCCCGTAACTTAAAACCCTTTTAAAGATGTCCTTAGAATCGGAACACCGTAAACTATCGGAAACTGAATTTTAATGGGTTTTAAGTTACGTACAACTTACCCTAATATTCAAAAAACGGTTTATGGCTTCACATACCACCTGAGGGTCAGGAATACTAGAAGTATAGGTCAGAAACAGTGCAGAAGATGACATTCTCCCCGCTGAGTGAGGTTATCGGTGAGCCGGACGATAGATACTATCGTTATACACGGACATCGATTTCCGAACTATATCCAGCACTGCCCTCTCAGACTGAGTAAGCCGGACGATAGCAATATCGTTATACACGGATACTCAAATAGTCTGTACCGGCCCCCCCCCCTACGCCGTCCAAGCCTCCAGAGTGACTACAGCACGCCGCCGTCCGAGCAGAGCCAATACTGTCCGTCCAAGCTTCGAAAGTGACCACAGCACGCCGCCGTCCGAGCAGAGCCAATACTGTCCGTCCAAGCTTCGAGAGTGACCACAGCACGCCGCCGTCCGAGCAGAGCCAATACTGTCCGTCCAAGCTTCGAGAGTGACCACAGCACGCCGCCATTCGAGCAGAGCCGATACTGTGAGTTAAATGTTCCGATTCCCACCCTTCAGTTTGTAATCCCCAGAAACATTTTAAATGTACACTCTGTATCACGAGTATAACGGAGGTAATTCCTCAAAAGAAAATCTTGTTATATTACAACATATGAATATTGTATCAAACTCAGATGATGAGCCAATTGGGTCAGACGTCACATATAAATAAAAATAAATTGTCGACAACCAATTGCGTTTCATTACAACAGCTAATACTTTTTCTTTAAGTGCTTTTAATTTTGGACGACCCTCTAACAAATCAATTTTTGTCATATAATTCAAATAGTCTAAAATAGCTACAAAAAATAAATCAGCCCACGACAACTGAAAAAAAAATATACATTATAATTAAAATGTAATAATTATTAACTTCTAAGATATGTAAATACTTAGACTGTTTAAGTTAAATATTAATTAATTATAATAAATTAAAAACAGAAAAAACATTAATTTATACATAGCAATAATGAAATCATAAGTTATAGACTATTAGACTATAGTGTTATTCTTAAAACCAAGTATTTGGAAAATTAAATTATATTGAATTTAAGAATAGAAACATTAAACACACAAAACCTGTCTAAGAGCCTAAAATGTACGAGGGGCACAACAGTTTGCAAAAGACCGTGTAAAAATTAACATTTGTAATTCTGCAATTTTTTTATTTAAGTATTTTAAACTTAAAAAGAAAATAATAAAGAGAGAAACGAGAGTACATATCAGGGACAGAAATAATTAGGATCACGTGTAACACATGTAATTAAATAAGAAATACAAAAGACAGTTTATTGTACCTAACTCAATAATTTAAGAAAATCGATTTTAAATTGAGTTGTATTCAATGTTTGACATACAGTATCTATTTAGGTTTCAGATCAATTATAAATAGGTTTAATCGATTAAAAGCATAGTTACCTTTCCATTTACAAAGTATCCATTATTGTCTTTAACATTTTTTTCAAATTTATCCATATAGAATGGAACTGTTTCATTGATCAAAGGTGCATATTTTGCTTCTTTAGTTTCCTCATTTGTATCATATGTATATGATGCCATTGCTATAAAAATAATATATATTATATAATACTTACCACCCAACTTAACATTAATAATTTAAACAATATTAACTATATTTTATAATCACTAATAGATAATAATATTTACCTTGTCGCAAATCATGAATGTTATCGACAGCAATATCGATCAACAAAGACTCCCAGTCATCACTACCAGCTAATCCAGCTTTTTTGGCTAAATAACGAGTAATAGCTGTTGATTGATTCAATACTTTGCCATCAATTTCCAACACTGGAACTTGGCCAAATGGCATTGCTAAGACAAGTAAAAACGATATAGGATTTAATACTTAAGGATATAATATTTATGATCCCCATATAATATATAAATATCTATTATCTACATATTAAAGCCACACACCTATAAATGAATGGAAAGAGCCTACCAAATCACCTTGCCTAAAGTTCATGGATAAGAGATAGAGTGAGAGAGAAAAGCACTGTTGTGTCCCAAACGCGTAGTTATTTTTCTCTCGGCTACGTCATCCGCTGTTTACTCTCTCTAAGCTCTGTCCATTAGTGTATTGATCCATGATCAAAACCATAATACGATTTATTACAGACAGAGACTTAAATATTATTAAGAGTCTTTGATTATAGGTAATAAATCACCACATACCTTTTACTCATAGTCCGAGCTATGTGGCCTATATGCGTTGTGCCTTGCGAGCCGAGATAGCTATAAGTATTACGTTCCTGAGTGACAGATGCACATTGCATGCACTTAATTAAGTATGAAACTGAATATATATTATTTATTTCGTATTCTTGTACCTATTAAATAGATATTTACACAATTTTACAAAAACACCTACTCAAATCGTTAAATATCTGGATTTCAAAATTAAAGTATAAGTCAGCCCATGTTTGACCACCGATAGTGAAACACGTGTGTCATCGCCATTGCGTTTTTACCCGCTCTCGATAAGCATTTTTCTATAGACATGCATCTAAGCAAGTAATATGGATATTAAAGAATGCCATAGGACCTGTAATTAACTCGAACAAGCAAATAGGCGAATGCTTAACGTTAACACTTCAACATCTTACAAAAAAACTAATACTAACTGTACATCATTTTCTATGCATAATGTAAGTCATGCAAGTATCTCATTTGAAGAACATCAAATACCTACGTCATTAAATCAATACGCAGATTAATTAACCCGGCAAAGTGAATAGTTATATCCAACGTTTATCCCTCTCCCGAGTGTCGTCTGTACATGCGAATTGGACACGCCGCACGCACACGGTACCTAGAACGCGAACGCTCATAAAATACGATACACCACGTAAAACCACGACTGTCTCGCAGTGTACGATAGTATTCAGTATATTATGGCAAACAACAGATGCTGACTGTAACAATACGTGTTGACAGTAGTTCGAACACATGACCGTGTCGACTGTCGAATAACGGAACAGCGGAGGATCGCAGCGGACACGGCGCTGCGTCAAGCTCGACAGCCAGAAAAATACGGACAACAACTTGGAGGAAATATGTCGAAGCTATATTATAAATAGCGCGAAAACGCGTCCGGGTTCGAACTTCGAACAACTGACATTTAGCAAAATTATCTTTCGGTCATCTTCCCCGTGAATGTGGAATATTAAACAAAATACCCAACTATACTCGAATAGAACAAAACATTTTCCCCGACCATAGTTATAAGAGACAACTTCTCAGAAATAATCAAAGAAAAATACCCCCACCATATAAAAATCTTCACAGACGCTTCAAAATTCCCCAATGGTACTGGATTTGCCTCTGTAGAAAATAATAAAATATCTTGAAACCAGAAATTTCTCTTCTAAACGCCAAGTCAGCCAAGAAGCAATCTTTCAAGCGGTGGCTTTAGTGTCCGAAAAAATACTTATATTAGTGACTCTTTCTGTGCACTCAATGCTATTGAGAATCCTTACCCCAAAAATGAAATCATCCAAGCCATACAAGCAACTTAAGAAAAAAAATTGAATTTCAATTTGTCTCCTCTCACATTGTCATAATTGGCTACAAACTAGCTGATAAGGCAGCAAACGAAGAAAAATAGCATCACCAAGCTCAGTAAGAACAAAAAAATAACATTTCAAGACCCACTCATAAAAACCAACAGTCTAATTAAAAGTCACTGGCAAGACATTTGGGAATAGACTCCGATTGAAAATAAACTTAAAGAAGTCAAAACATCAATCGTCCAGTGAAAATATTATTTTCCCTAATCCAGGTACCAAGAAGTACGAGTAGTTGTAGCTGCAAGAACTAGAATTGGAGACTCCCGCTTAACACACTTGCACCTCATATAGTCATACCAAAATAAGACTGCTCGATCTGCGAACTCTAGGACAAACAGTTGACTATCAAACACATCACACTAGAGTGCTCCAAGTTAAACGTACGTGAAGTTTCCCTTCCCCCACCATGACCGATTTATTTGCAAAGTATATACTTATTGTGTAAATAAGCTGCAAATCATTTCCCTGTCCGGAAAACAATTTTTCTTTTTTTTATCAAATTTAAATTTTTTCTATTGAATTTAGATTTTTGATTCAATAAATATTTTTTTTTAATTCATTAGATCTTTTTATTCAACTAATCATTTAAAATATGTTTTTATTTAATTTAGATTTGTTAAGTTAATTTGTAATTGTTTGTTAGATTTAGAGATTTTATTCTATGAAATAATCTAAATCAAATAAAATGCCAAGTTGACCCGACAAATAAGATTTTAGAATTATCCTATTAGGCCTTTTTTATTCTACTTGGATTTTTTTCAACTTAGCTTTTTGATTTTTTTATTTAAATTATTTTTCTTTAATTTTATATTTGTTCTATTGAATAAAAAACCTAAATTGAAAAAAGGACAAATTGTATACAAAAATCTTTATTGGATCAGAAAAATCTTAGTTCAATAAATAAAGCCAAGTTGAATAAAAATTCAAATTTGAATTCAGAAATCTAAATGCATAAATGCATAAACAAGATAAGTTGAATAAAAGCCAAGTATATATGATAACATATCAGTTAAAAATTTTAAGTACCTACATATGAGTCATATTTGATAAAAACTTACTAGGCTTGAGTGCAGGCCATTCTTCTTCTTCAAAACGAACGTCTTCGAAATCGATGTTCAAGTAGGACAGAAGGAATCTCATGGGTTCGCCCATAGCAGTGACGTTGAAGTAAGTAACTTTGTAGGACATTTTTGAATATCTCGTAGTGATAAACTTAACGATTTTAACTAAAACAAAAGTGTAAACATTATAATTATCAGATATTTAATAAAAAGTGTTTACTGGGGTATTTACAAATAATTTAAATTAAAGATAATAATAATATATATTTATAAAACAACATGTGATATATTATATAAACACTCAAATAAACTAAAAGCAGCACACCCTATAAGCAAAGCTTGTGCTGATGGAGTGGTTCTTATCAATTAAAAATATTATATTAGTAATAGCCGATATTAAAAAGTAGTAAGTATAGTACTACAATATTATAAATAAAATAAAATACAAAAAGTTAACTTTAGATTACTAACTAATTATATAACAGATAAATTAAGACTCTTAACAAACTTTTGAAAATAATAAATTAAATAATTTATAAAAGATACCTAAGAGTGTGAATAATTTATCAAACGAAATTCCGTTATAGCTTGTTAAGCAGTCATGCATAACAACAACACTGTGTAGTGTGTACTGTCTACTGTTATAGACTAATGTTTACAGCTATATTATATAGGGTAATTGTAATACTCTAATCTATAAAAAAATAAATCATTCCAACGATAAAAAAAGTATAAAATATCTCGTTTCACCAAATTTTTTTTTGGTATAGGAGTGGGGGATGGTGTTCGGATCGTAGTGGTTGGGATTCGGTCTGTGGAGTGTGGGCACTCAAAACTCAAGGGATTTACATTCAATACCACTACGCCCCTCCATAAAATAACAACGATTACATTGCCTTTTCTCCTATTCGCAGTAGTTTATGATAATTAGCGAATATTATTATTTTTTAATAACATTATCAGTAATAATAAATATTATTGATGACCCTTCGTCAGTGACATCATATCCCACATTAGAATGAAATGATTAATACGTGATTTAAGTGTTGCCAAAATGGTAAAACATTATTACAACTTGTGAATTATGATCCATGTACAAAAAAGTATGAGCCAAGTCTTGAGTTATAAAAATACGATCAATTTTGAAAATCTATACATTTAATATTGAATAAAATATTTTTATAGTACCTTTGTCATAGACCGTAGCAAGATTTATAATAATGATATTGGAGAAAACAAATAAGAACCCCCCACAAAAATTACCGCATTAATATTTATTAATCACTTTATTATTATTATTATTATTATTATTATTATTATTATTATTATTATTATTATTATTATTATTATTATTATTATTATTATTATTATTATTATTATTTGACGTACGACATTCAAAATATTTTTTTTTATCTTTTGAATATTGTATCTATTCTATAGACTATAAAGTAAAACTTATACAAAAACTTCTCTTGATAATTATATTTATAACAATTGATAAAACATAACAAAACTCAATTAAATTTTTTACAGAATTATACATAATGTCGTAATATAAAACAAAAATTATTGTTAATATTAGAAAAAATACTATATTATTATAAATGTAAGTAAAATTGTATTCCATATTTACATTAAACTTTGAACATGTATTGGTTTTTTTATATAATGATTCTTTAATAATTATTGAACATTACCTAATAATGTAACAATTAGCGCCGTTTAGGAAATATTTGCTAAATCATTTAAATGTGATTGTGAGCATGAATAGTGTACTACAGTGATATACTAATATTATTGTCTGGGACATTTTTCGTCGGTGTTTTTCTTCCCAGTGTTTTTTTCCAGTCAATCATGTTCCAATGAAAGTTGGACTATCGAGAAGCAAATTTAATCAAGGACGTAATATGTATAGTGGCCAATGAAGTTTAGGGTCAAGGATGACACCTTCAGATGACATAAGGAAGAAATGGGAATGGATGACGTTGTTATCAAGATTTAAGTACATTGGGATTTGGGATGATTTAAATGTCTAAACCATGTGGGTTTGAATATAATAGATTTGGATTTCTCTGGTTCTCAATTCCTAAGATATCATTTTCATTGTTTATGTATAGGTAGTAATATCGATGGATTAATTTATACAAATGGCATTTGAGCATTTGGCACGGAATATTAGAATAAAGTATTAAATATTTAACAATGATAATATATAATATAGATATATAAAATAAAGCAAAACAAAACAAAGATTAGATAATACTATTATACCTATTAATCATGTTTATTTTTAAAATATTCCTCATCAAAACACTTATATGTATTCAATTATAAAACTAATAACTGAAGTTAAAAACTATTCGTGTATTTGGGATTTGACCTCAAGAGTCAAGGGATTATATAATAGATACCTAAAAAATTAATCTTGGTTGAACGTAGCCGAGGAAGTATATTAATTGGAATGGATAAACTCAGGTGTAGCTGAAAAATAAGAAAAATGAATAACAGTTCATAACAACATCTGATAATTATTATGATTACCCATATAGGTCAAGTAGGTATAAAAAAATAAACACAACAATACTACGATATAGTAAAAGTAAGAACGTGATGATACTCACAAAAAACCGTTGTAATACCGGTATTGATAGTGCTCATTTCACGTAGAACCTAATATGGGTATACTATACCATATAAAAAGAATTAAAAATTATTTTGACATTATTAAAGCAAATACTACGAGATGAAAATAATTAATGAAAGTGCAACAAATTCAGACACTTTGATTTAGAACATATTTTGCGAAAAATTAAATTAAAATTCATAAGGTACTTATCATAGAAAAAAAATTATCGAAAAAAGCAAAATAAAAATGTGTTTCGTAGCTGACATAACTTCGTATTAAAAAACGATTTACGATAGAAGCAATAAAACAAAATAAAAAAGTAAATACATTCATCGCTATGCTCTGGATCTAAAATAGTAGAAGAATATAAAAATTAAACATGATTTTTTTTTTATTTATTTTTTTTTCAATGCAATGTTTACAATCTATACAACAAGTAGTACAGTAAGTAAATTGGATAAGGTAGTATAATACATGACTTGAATGACTTGAGGGGGGAAAACCGTCCATAAACAGTAGATACCTCCTAATAATGATGGATTCTCAATGGAGACCGTTTTTTTAGATTTTGAGTGGAACGATGAATGTATTGATTTTACAATGATGTAAGTTTTTTTATTTTTTTATTTTTTTTTGTGTCTGTCATCGCCTTTTAGGACAGTAAAACTGCTTCGATTTTCTTAAACAGCAAATTTTCTGATTGGAAATTGAATCTAGTTGGTACTTTGGGGGGTCAAAAGTAAAAATTTCTCAGTAGTTTTCAAAAGCGACGTGAAAAACAAAAGAAAAATTAAGGAAAAATGGGAATTTTTACGCAAAATCGATTTTTAACAAAATCGATTTTGGTTTTTGGTGTAACTCTAAAACAAATGGCCGTAGATATATGAAATTTTAACAGGTTGTTTATATTTGCATTTGCTATACACAGTAAAATTTTGAAAATAATTTGACTCTTTTTGAGATGTTTACGGACATTGCCAATTTTCAATTTTCTTAGTTTTTTTTTCTATAAATACCAATAAAATTTTATTTGTTGGGTGAAAAAGCTTGAAAATGTAATACAAGGCTCCTGATATATTTTTACAATAGCAATAAATTGTAAAATATTTAAAATACATAGGCACAATTTTTTTTCATAAGCATTTAAAATTCGAATTTTGATTCAGATATATTGGTATTAATATGTCTTAAACCAAGACTGACATACCGTCTCCACTCAGAATCGTTTTTCTTATACAATGATATTGTATCATTGAATTCAAATTTAATTCTATCCATTATACAGTGACCCACTTGTAACCTACTGTACAGCAGAGCGACATCCACTTACCCGCTTTTTTTTTTTATTGTGCTAGGCAAGGGCGTATCTTGGCCATTTTCTTTTTAACCTTTTAGGAGGGTTGCTGGGGGTGGTTAAAGAGGACATGCGAGAAATAAGAGGGTTTTGGTTTAGGTGTAGTTTGGAGTGAAACTTTTGGTAGTGACGAGTTGCTAATTCATTGACAGTTAAGATTTGTATAGATCCTTATGTAGTGCGTTGTTAGTCATATACCGGGGGGGCTCCAGTTATTTGTCTAAGACATATGGATTGAAACGCTTGTAAGGGTCTTATATTGGAAAACATAATTATAATTTATATGTAAGCCATTTAACTATTTTTAACAGATTTTTTCATCTAGTCCGGTGAATAGCTGTATCGCCTGTATCTACTACCAGCTTACCTACTTATATTTTGTACTTGCCGCATGGTGTAATAAGCACAATCATCAAATTATCACATTCATAATCCTGTAGATTGTAGAAGGCCGACAAGAATAAACATGACGCACTAACGCAGTACATCGTCGAATTGCATTAAATAAAATACATAGGTACATATTATCATAGAAGGTATAAATGTACAAGAGTAAATTATTTTATGCACCATCGTTTTGGATAAATACAATTATTTTTGTTTTAAAAATGAAATCTTTTTAACATTTTCATTATTGATATAATGAAAATTTCCCATAATAGCAATGATTATTTAAATGTACTGGCTAAACATGAATATATAGCATGTATAAATAATTTTACCAGAGTCACTGAGTCCTCAAATACTTGCATTGATCATATTTTTATTAAAAATGTAAAATCAAATAAAATTAATTCGTACATATTACGATGTGATATAACTGATCATTATGCTACAATACTAATGTTATCTGATGAAATGTTTAAAGTCGAAAATAATTGTAGACATATAAATATAAAAAAGATAAATTTTGGGATTTTAAATAAATTAATTTTATTATAAAATTAGTGTTCCACTATGTCTTTTGATGATTTTGATTCTATGCTCGAGGTTTTTAATTCTAAAGTAAATGAATTTATTAATCATTCAACTATTTCAGTAACTAAATTAAAATCTAAAAAAATGTCAAAATTAAAAGAATGGATTTCAACCGGTATAATAACTTCTATTAGAAATAGGGAAAAATTGTTAGCTAAATTGAAATTGAGGCCTTTTGATACACGCTTTAAACAATTTTATAAAAAGTATAGAAATATATTAAATGTATTAATACGAAAATCTAAACAATTATTTTATCAAAGTAAATTATTAAAAGCTCAGTGTGATGGTAAACAAGTATGGAATATTATTAATGAGGTAATAGGAAAATCAAACAAAAATAAAAAATGTGATATCAATAAAATAACAATGAAAAACGGTTGTATTACTGAATCAAAAACAGAAATTTGTAATACACTAAATGACTATTTTATTAATGTTGGGAATAATTTAGAGATAGAACACATAAACCATGTACCTGATAACCATGAAATTATAAACCATAGTTTATTTTTTAAACCAATAAATAGTGATGAAATAATGTTGCACTTAAATAAAATAAAAGACTATAATTCTTTTTATGAAAATAATTTGTCTAATTACATACTAAAAAAAACATCTAAAGCTACTTCATTACAATTGTCAATTATTTTCAATAAATCTCTATCAACAGGTAAATATCCGTCATATTTCAAAAATGTATTGTAATCCCATTATTTAAAG